TGCCCTTAGCGACAAAGCTTGTGCTGGACAATAGGGTAATACCTAGCTTTAGAGGAGTGATAAGTGTTCTGATGTTGTCCTCAGATAGAGCTGGTTGGGATTTCTTGGGGAGCATGGCTTAGGGTTTTCGTGATGCCTTGGTTTCGAACGGAAGTACTTGAGAAGGAGTATAGTCTGGGGAGTTTGAATCAGAGAAAAAAGAAGTTGAAGTGATTTGAAGTTGAAAAGGTGGGTCTTTTATAGTTTATGATGAGCCCAATATATTAAAAGTACTAAAACAGTCTAATATTGGGATGTGGTCTATTTTGGTTTTGGGCCCATAATAAATGGTTTGCTGTTGGTATTATCTCTTGGGCTTAGGGGGATGAAATCTCTTATTTTAGTGCAATTTGGGCCCAAGTGGCAAGCTTGTTCAAGTTAAAATCATTTGATATTTAGTCAACTTGAACAAGGGGGGCATTGTTTGCACCTATTTATGCTAAGTTCTATCGACAGGTGGTCCAGTTAATAGAGGACACGTGGCCAAGTCTAGAGTGGATATGGAGCATCAGAGGACCATGACTAACAGGTGAAAGTGGGTCTTTGCATATGGGTTGACTAGAAATGATGGAGCAATTACTGGCAATGATCATGGAGTTAGTGAGCAACCTTTCAGAAGGAAGCATGAGACAAAGTAGGAGCTTTTCTCTATCGAGAGAAGGTTAAAAGAGTTTGCGGACATGAAATAACCTGAAGAATAGGCAGATCAACAAACAAAATGAGATGGTTAATGTAATTGTAAAGCCTAGAAGTCATGGAGCAGTTACAGCAGTTACGCAGCAGCAGTTGCAGGTTAGGGAGATCATAGAGGCGTGTGAAAGAAGAAGTATAAAGGCCAAAGATTGGCAAAAATGAGGGGACATCAACAACAACTTAACAACTTAGCTTTTAGACGTAGAAGTAATTGAGATTGTAATTTAGGAGTAGTATTTATCATTGTAATATGTACTTGTTGGGTAAGCATGGGTGATTCCAGTACGAAATTGCTTCTGTTTATTTAATCTACCTTGTTACCATCTGTTGATCATGAAAGTTTGTCTTCCTTCTTGTTTACTTTGCTGTCACTATTTGATCCAAAGAAGTCCTTATTCTTTTGAGGCATTTGAACTAGAATCACAGTTGCTTGATTGTTTCTATTTAAAGTTGTGTAGTTTGAATTATTGCTTGGTTGCTATCGATCCAGTAATAGCATAATTTTTACAAACAAATACCTATGTTGCTCTCATTAAATTTATCACCCTTCTTTATTATCCTCATTTCTCCAAAAAAAACTTTTCATCATCTTCTTCTTCTTGTCTCTCTCACTAGCTATTTTCTAGAGATCCTCTATCTACTTACTATTTTTTAAGAGAGCTTCACAGCACCACTATCTACTGCCACCGTCGCCATGCCACCACCGTTTACCACCACTGTGGCCACACTATCATCGCCATGTCGCCCTCCTACTATCATCAGTCGCCACCACCATCCACCAATCACCTCTATCGTTGCCAATCTATACTCTACCATCGCCAATCTACACAAGACAACATTCCTCCATCGTCATTAATGGCACACACTTCTCACCATTGTCTTCTTTCTCTATCGCCATCATTGATGACTTTCAAATCTAGCCATTTTTAATTTCGATCTTCACTGGTGACATTAGATCTAACCATTTTTGGATGCCAATCTAGCATGACAAGGTCGCTGAAACTCCTACCAATGAGATCAGGTCTCTCTTTGTCTCCCCCTCTCTCTATGTGTGTATGTGTGTATATATTGATAGATCTCCATCAATCTCTTTGTAAAGATCTAGCTAAACCAGTTTTATTGTTAGTCAATTTTACTTTTTTGTGTTTAAGTGTGTTGGCATATTTATGTGAATGAATAAGCAAGTGAGTGTGTATATATGTGAGTATAAGTGTAATAATGAAAGGGAGTAATTGATTAAGACGTCTGAAAAAATTTGATGAATGTTATCAGTGATATTTGTCCTCTTTCATATCTTTTTCCCTTTCTCTTGTCACCGCCAGATCTGAGGAGGTGGCGGAAGAATGACAATGTTTTTGCCCCAAAAAATGGTCAAATAATTGTCAAAAAATATCATCGGTGGTCAGAGACGACGATTGGAGATGGTTGTCAGTGGTCAAAGAAAGTAGCCAAAAATGGTCATCAACGATCAAAGATGGTTACCAGAGATGGTTGTTGGTGGGAGGAAAAAAAATTCATAGCAATATTGATAATTGGGGATGAAGAAGGGGGATGAAGGGCATTATGGGTATATTACTAGGTGAAAAAATGAGCAGGACTTATAAGTAAATAAGTTGGATCAATAGGACCAATCTGTGAATGCCCATTTATTTTATGCTCGAAGTCTATATCAAATTGTCATACAATTTCTACTTATTATTTATTAAGAAAAAATAGTAACAAGTTGAAAAAAATAATTATTTAGAAACTTAGGTCTCGTTTAGCATACGAGTGTTTTAGTCAAAAAGTCAAACAGTTATTAAAAAAATCAAAAAGTTTATAGCATATACCTAAAAGTCAATTATTCATTTCTCTCTATTTTTTGCACATATTTTCGTAAAAAATCAAAAAGTCATTTCAAACATACTAGTTTTTTTTAGGAGGATTTGGTCAAAACCCCCTCATAATAAAATTTTAATGCATTAAGGACAAGCACAAAAAGTTTTCCTTGAAAAATTCAATAAATATCACTATTATCAAATATTAAACTTTAAAATAATATAACTTTTGATGTAGATATCAATTTTTAATAAAATTAATATGGGAAATTTAGTCAAAACCCCTCCGTTGGACTCTGGTTTGGTGAAAAGGACAACCCAATTTATTTTTCTTCATAAACCCCCTAAGGAGATAACACATAATTGAGAAAAGGCAAAGTAAAATATATATATATATATATATATATTTTTTCTTTATTTCTTAGACAATATTGTCGGAGTAACATATTACTGTGAACCAAACTCTGAGTAACATGTTACTATCAAATAGAGTAATTGTCAAACAGAGTAACATGTTACTGTTACTATTTGCATCAATTTCAACGGTAATAATGTTTTTTTAAAGAATTTCATAGTCAATATGGATCTTATTTGATAGATCTTGATGAGAGAATTCTAAAAACATTAATTGGGATTTTTGGTGAAAAGCCCTTCCCATTGGGCCTATTTTGTGTGAAGCCCACAGAATTAAACAATGACTCCAAAAGCCTCTCAATTAAAAAAATGTCATGAATTGACTGAAATGTCCTTCCATATAAGTGGAGAAATATGAAACAATTAACAGTAAAAATTTACTATCAATCAAAGTAAAAATTTTACTGTCACCACAAGTCCAAAAGTCAATTTGTGTTGATAAAATTTTATTGTGGTCTAGTGTAACATTGTACTATATTTTAGAGTTAATTTTTACTATTAGGTTTGCCAAAGATTGACAACTCATACAGTGTGTCACCAACACAACTTGAGACATGAATGTAAAAGTAAAATTTTATTCTGCATAAAAGTAAAATTTTACTTTGAAATAAGAATAAAATGTTACACTCTGAATCTACGAACAAAATGTTACACCCTGAATTTAAAATTAAAATTTTACTCTATATAAAAGTAAAATTTTACTCTGAATAAGAGTAAAATGTTACACTCTGAAACTAAAAGTAAAATTTTACTCTGTATAAAAGTAAATTTTATTCTGAAAAACTAGTAAAATGTTAGACTCTACACAAAAGTAAAATTTTACTCTGTATAAAAGTAAAAAATTTTACTCTAAAAAATGAGAAAAATGTTAACTCTGAATCTAAAAGTAAAATGTTACTCTACACAAAAGTAAAAAAACGAAGGCAGTGTTTGTGGCGCCTAAAGCGTTTGGCAATGACCACCTCTTGACAGTAAAATTTTACTGTCATTCTAACACCAGAGTAAAATTTTACTCTAATTCTCTCAAACAAAAAACAGAGCAATAAAATCAGAGTAAAATTTTACTCTCATTATCTAAAACAAAAAACAGAGCAATAGAACCAGAGTAAAATTTTACTCTAGTTCTGTCAAATGAAATCAGATCAAAAACAACAAAAATAAATCCAAAAAAAAACAAACAAAAACAAAACAGATTAATCAACAAATCAACATATCTAATTGAGAAGAAAACTTCTAAAATTCAATCAACAATCATAAATCTCAATGAAACTCTCGTTTAATTGAGAGTGTTGATCGTCGGCGGCAAGATCGTCTATTGTTGACCAAGTGATAGATCTTTGGCTGCGAGATCTTTAGATTTGGAGATCGTCTTCATTGATTTCGTTCCTGATTTCATTCCTGCGAGATGTTCAGCTCAGATTTCAAATATTTCAAATGTATAATACGTATATATAGAAGGGCAATATTGTAATAAAAAAAATAAAAATTATAAAATGTCCTTATTAAGGTAGGCATTTCCTACTCAGTGACTTTTTGAAAGAAAATTGATTGGATTATCCTTTACCCTAATAAAAAGGCACAAAAAGGGGGTTTCACCAAAAATCTCAATATAAATTACTCCGTGTGGTTTTGAAAATTACAAATACATCATTGTTAAAAAAAATTATTTAATAGAATTAACATAAAAAATAAAATTTATAACTATTCTCTTATACAATAATAAAACTACCTGAATTGTTAATTAAGATATATTTTTTACATCATTAAAAATTGTTATTGACTTGATAATTTATAAATAAAAAAAATCATTTGTTATGTGATTAAAAATGTAAAAAGGTAAAATGTAGTAATTTTTAAAATCATAGAGACTAATTTGTAATTTAAATAAATTACAAAAAAAATATTTATAATTTATTTTATTAATAATTTATAATTTAGAAAAAATTGCATCAAACCGTTACCTGACTTTTTGCCTAAGTGTTCCAAAAACAGAGACCATGTCCATGCAAATGCGCAATCAATCACGCAAACCCTGGCAGTCGTTCATCTTCAACCGAAAATTATCTAATAAGTGAGGAAGGTAACGTGTTTATGTACATGATTAATAAAATGTTATAATTTGTCCATCATATTTTTGTTATTAAAATAATATATTTACTTAATCTCTTGCTATTAGTTAAGCACACTGTTAACGTAAAACTCCTGCTACTCATTTTCAACAAGTTTACAAACTAGCAAGTGTTAACACGTATCACAGAAGAAAAAGTGAGCCAACTATATAAAGGGTTTTAGTGGATTTGGGTGAAAAATTAAAGAGAGTGAAGAAAATGAAGAAGAAACAAACAATGGAGGAGGAAGAGAAGAAGAAAGAGGTGGCTGCAGAGGAAGAGGAGGCGGAGTATCAGAGGCGGAGGCAGCACCAACCGCCCAATATATCGCCGATGGTGGCAACCACGAAGGGTGCGTACGGTGGTGGAATGTACGGCACTTAGGAAGGGCAGCCGGAGAAGCCGAGAAAGGCGGCCGCGAGCGATACGCTGAGTGCGGATGGGCCGGTGGAACCAGCGGCAGAACCGAAGAACAAGCCTCCGCCGTCGACGGGGGATAGGGATGTTGATATCACTGGCCAATCTTACATCCAGTGCCTCACTCGCTATTGTTTTGTTTTGTTTTGTTAGTCATCCCTTTGTCATGTTTTCCAGTTTGTTTTGTGGTGTGTTCATCTAGTTTTTATATTTAATTTAAAAGGAAGAAATTTTATCATTTTTTAGACATCGTTTGAGAACAAGTTATTTTAATCATTTTTTGACTTTTTAGTTAAAATATAAAGTAAAAAAATTATTATATTTAGAATGATATTTTAATTATTTATGAAAAGATGTGTAAAAAGTAAAGAAAAAAAAATACTTTTTTTATATAAGTTATAGACCTTTTAATTTTTTTAGTAATTTTTTTATTTTTAAACTAAAACAGACACATACCAAACACGACCTTAATATATCTTCCATCGTTTTTCTTTTTATTTTTTTTGAAAATCTGTCAGCATTTTGGTTTTGAAACAATTTTGTTTAAAAAACAAATGTCATAAATAAATTAAAATATATAAGTATTAGATTGATTTCATTTTTAACATGAATAATATGCACAGAACATTTTACAAAGTGAATAATTTAAATCACCAAAACAAAGTGAATAATTTAAATCACCAAAACAAAACTTGAGTATCACAACCTTGTCATATAGTCAAGTTCAATTTCAATTTTAAACTTCAGATAACCTTAATTCAATTTATATAACACTAAACTCAAGTTGCTTTTTAATCTTTGAAAAATAAACACCAATGTGTGGTTAATGTCATGTAAATATGAAAATAAACACTCCACAGCGACTAAAATAGACACTCCGAAACTACGGCTTTTGTATTTTTTCTTTTTTTTTCCAGCTTAAATCTGAGCACGAATCACAAAAAAAGATTCCTGATCCGTATATCCTTGTGGAAGGACAAGTGAGCAGCTCAAGCTCAATTTCTATCGTTCATATTCCAGCAACTAACCTGCCGAGTAATGATCTTATTTTTTGAAATTCTATGTTCACTGTAAAATGTAGGCATATTTTTTTCACATTTCACTTATCTTTTCCATTTCTCTTTTCAAATCCCTCCTCAAATCCCTTAACCAAACATAGCATTAAAGAATTACATGGCACTAAAAATAATAGAATGGTGGTCTTCCTGCCCTATGTGATAATTTCTGCTAAGGAACATACTTCGAATATTATCCAAGACTAGTGAAAAAAACAAATCAAAAGAATGAATAAAATTGAAGAACAGTGGTTTGTGACATTCTGTTACATGAGCAGTTTTATTCACAATAATTTCTAAACTTCCCCTTAACAAAATAATATGAGTTTACAAGTCTGGTGGGACATCATCTGGAGGTGGTGGAGTTGACCCAAAATTACTTGGGTAGACACCAGGAGGCCGCTCCCGAGGGTTGATGGATAGCAATTGGCTTGAATCGCCGACAACATCAGCCCATCCATAATGAGGATCAGCCCTTCCATCAAAAAGTAAAAACTCGTCAATTTGTTTTCAAAGCAAAAACTGAAATGAAAATACATATCCTCAAAGTCATGTTTAAAAAAATGCTTTTGGTTCTTCGCGCATTCAAGTTTCTGGAATGCACACATAGCCGGTCTAATAATCAAGGAAAGGGTAATTCTGTTCACACACCATATTTTATCTCCATACACACCATTTGTGTCGTTCGGATATCAATTTCCGTACAAAAACAAAATGTTTGAATATCAACTTCTGAACAAAAATTAAGTACTCAAACAAAAAACTTTTTTGATAGTTGATATCTGAACATTTATATTTTGTTCGAAAGTTGATATCCGAACAAGATAAATGGCGTGTACTAAGACAAAGGCTGATGTGCAGACAGAATTACCCTCAAGGAAAACACATTTAAGTTTTAGACTTCATGAACTTGTGTGTATTCAGCAATGCAATAAATGTATAATTATAAATGCAATATATGGTGCAAGTCACAATGAGATATTATAGGAGTTAAGGAGCTGTATCAAAGTAATATGTGCAAATCTACATTGTTGACTTGTGTGTAAAAAGATATGCAATTGAGTTAATGCAAGTAAGAGAGTTTCTGGGACTTACTCATAGTAAGTTTCCTCATCCACGACAATATCCCAGCTTTCGCCTGTAGTGCTCTTACCATATTTGTGCACCTTACTGGTATAGTCAGAGAAGCCAAATCAATTTCTAATAATATAACATGAAAACAACTTATACTTCAAAGTACTTTAATCCTGAAGCAAGCTTGCTCAATCCGTGAAGGAATTCATAAATTAGTAGCATACCCATTTCCAAAGTGTTCTTCTCCCCACGTCCTAGACCAACCTAAAAATAGGTGAAATAAATGATTATTACTTTCACAAAAAAAAACACGTACGCAAATTGTGATGTGTAATTTCTTACACCTACACTATATGATAATGAGTGATTGTAAGTTGCAACGAATAGAGTGCAATAACGAGTGATTGAAATGAAAGTCACAAATAGAAATTGGCCCCCTTGATGGTGCCAACATGACATGGTACTCATCCATAATTGATGATAAATTTGTATCAGAAGGGCCATCCTAGTAATTTTCATCCAATATAGTGATAGAAGAGCAATCCCATAGAAAAATAATTCATGTTTGTAGTTTTAAACTAGGTCTATGACCTCTGTGGTGTCTCTATTTGTGGGCTAGGATTTAAACCACTTCAAGGTTTCCTGGTAGCATGAAGTTATCACAAGGACATGTGGTTGATGGTCATTCTAATTGCTTAAAGGTCTTGGGTGTCATACCTAATATATGAAAACGAAACAAATTGATTTGATTTCTGTATAAACTGCCAGTCACCCTAATGATGGAGCAAGCACAATGTCATAGGCCTTCATACCACAGGATAATAACTTGGCATATATATAGTCTATTATATAGGTAATAAAGTTCTCAGTATGAAAACCAACGGGAATTTACTTCGGATATTCTCCAACCAATCATCTCCATATACTCATGTTGACCAATATAGAGTAAAAGGTATCAGAATAGCTCAGAAATAATGACCAAATATCAGTCTACCTCAAACGTATTGGTCCAAACAAATTCTTTTCGTCTTTTCTTTTCTTTGTGCTTATTTTCCTAGAGTAAAATAAAATAAAAAAATGGACATGCATCCATGTTCCTACAAGTGGTAAGCACATACATAAGCATGTATGTTGCTGCAAAAGAACTTCCTCGTATAAATCCCTAGTAAATCATATCTATGCTACAAAATACAAAGGAATTTTTCCTACCAGTCGAATTGTAAATACTATGTCAAATATCATTTTTAAGAAAGTTAAAAGCACGTTTTATTAGCATGTATCAAATTTAGTTTAGTTGAGAACAGCGCATGGCCTCATTAACATTTTAGATAAGTGCCATAAACAGATGCAATTTGCAGAGTCAAACATTATCATTTAAAAAAAAAAATAAAGAACAGGTGAGAGAGAGAGAGAGAGAGAAGAAAGAAGGATGTGACATACGATCACCGCTGGGCGATAGATGCCATGTTTCCCCTTGGCGCGAACCTATGCCAGCAAAAAACTTCTCTTCCCACTTGTCTCCCCATTTGGTTCCAAGTTCAGTCTCAGCCCACTTATCTGTCCTGAGGAAAAGAAAAATAATGCTACTACAAGAAGGAAGACATTTCCCCTTCTTTTTTAATTATTTCAACTTCAAAAACTAAAAAATATATATAATTAATGGACAAAAAAAACAAAAAATAGAAGCACATCCTCCAACATGTTTGTCCAGGAATCCTTAGTTTATCATCCTTCTATTGCCTGAGTGACAACAATAATGTCTTCTTTCCACTCGTTCCTTTGAACCCCACTAGTAGTATAAATTTAGGTGATGGGACAATTTACTATTATTAGTCCATCTTTAGCATAGTGCCAAATTTATCAAGGAAGGATGGTGTTTCTGCAAGCTATTGAGCGACATTTGGGCTTCACAGTTTCTAAAACATACAAAATTCATTAAGTTTCTACACTTCTCATTAAAAATACATTATGATAAACTATTGCTATTAGCTGCATATGATTGCAGACAAGTTCTTAATTTTCTATCATGTTATTCAAATTACTAGCTTCAAGTGACTTATTCGAAAAGGTAAAACAACTTTGCACAAAGAGCATCAAAGTACTGAGGGTTCAAATAGAGAAATACCATTTTAGAACAGATCCTCTTCCATCATAATGCTCTCCCCACTTCTCCCACCAGGACTGTTCATTCAGTCTCCCATATTTGTGTGCCCCTTTCTCAGTCCAGCCTTTAGCATCATATTTCTCCCACCTGCACAAAATAAATGTATCATCAACTATTAACAGGGGCTGGGTGACTCGTGTGTTTCTCACATGCATACTTAAGGTCATTAATTACAACTATTGTGCAGTGAAAACTTCGCTTACCATTTCTCAAACCATCCCGCATTTTCTGTGCCAGATTTTGCTTGTTTCTGAGCACTCCTTTCTATCCTAGCTAGGTTACTGCAATTTTAGAAACCAGCAACTGTTATCATCATAATGGCTAAATGATATACACTCTTGGTGAATTATAAAGTTTTAATTTGTCAATGCAGCTTGGTAACAATTGAAAAGTTAAACAAGAAAAGAAGAATAATAAAATCAAAACCTCCATTCATCTTGGTGAAGAACTTCTTGCCATGTTTCCCACCATGAATCCCCTTCAGCATTTCTTCCTGACTTTTCCACTCCTGCAATTTTTGACCAGAAAAGCATATAAGCATTTTCACACAAGTCCAGAATGCTCAGATAGTCGGGGGGGTAGACACGGGATATGAATACGACACGATAAGGACATGCTGACACAGCAATTTAAAAAAATTAGGATTGGAACTCACAGGACAAAATGACAAAGGATGTGTACAACATATATACATATATGAAATTGTTAACTGCTACTACATTTTTTTTTTTTTGTTGTTGAAAAATAATTTATAATTTGTTTATTATATCAAGGCACTAAAAAACAATTCCACATTTTATATGATGGAAAAGAGATGCGATAATAATGTCCTAATATCATTTAGAAACCTTTATCCCTAAACAAATTAGAAGTCTTAGGCTTTGGGGCTGTTAAAAAAGTCTGAAGTAGGAGGATTTAGCAAGTATTAATGTACAAGTATAATGTTTTAATTCTAGTTATTAGCCCTCAAGTTATTGTCTTCAAACTTATACCAAGACTCGTATATGTTTCATGTGTGTCCAAGCAGTAGCACGTGTGTTAAGTGTCTAAAGTGTATCCAATTTGAAAAGAATGATAAAATAATAGGAGACATTTGGATGTCCGTCGGTGTCCAACATGAACACAACACTCTTATAGAAGTGCCCTATGTCTGCTTTCATGCTTCTTAGGGGCACAAGCTTGTTTGAATAATACTGGTAAAGTACAGAATATTTTATGAAACAATACTGATTTATAAATAAATTAACTACAATATGCAGATTAAAATTAAGCATAAAAGGGTCAGTGTAAGGCTGTAAGCATATGCTGAGGACAAGCTACCTAATATATGACATGCATCCACGTTAGCAATAACAACAACACAGTCTAAATCTAGTTATCCAAAATGATCAAAGGTTCTAGTATGGCATTCATTAGTCAAGTGAGTCTGAGACTTGGATTTACTAAGGGAAATTTTATAAAATCAATAGTGTGTACAAACACGCTTAAGCAAGGGCTACAATTACACAGAAGAGCCCACTAACATTTTAAAAGCAATGCAACGTAAGGGCATGTTTCACTCATTACCTGCAATTAGGGTTGATTTTCAACAGGACCACAAGAAACTACACTTGGTACAACAATAAAAACATAGGCTAGTAAGTGTGAAAATAAAACTTCTGCCCGTTCACTTTGAGTAGCCCTAGGCTAAAGATATAACTAACTCGGAGGAAAGACTGGGCTTTTGCAATGTTATCTAGGGGTATCACATTCAAGCTGTATCAAGTCGTACTTGGCCTAATGTTTTTTGGCAACAAACAGATTCGCAATCTCAATTTCCAAACACAATCGAACTTGTCCATTCAAGAAAAGCCACTAGTACCTCTCATATGGATAAGATTTTCCCCAGTGTGTTTGACTCACTCCTAATGTTTTAGGAATCTAAATCCTTCCATTTGCTTTAGGGGTAACATAAAGATTGTTTCAATATAATAGCCCTAGGCTAAAGATATAACTAACTCGGAGGAAAGACTTGGCTTTTGCAATGTTATCTAGGGGTATCACATTCAAGCAGTATCAAGTTGTACTTGGCCTAATGTTTTTTGGCAACAAACAGATTCGCAATCTCAATTTTCAAACACAATCGAACTTGTCCATTCAAGAAAAGCCACTAGTACCTCTCATATGGATAAGATTTTCCCCAGTGTGTTTGACTCACTCCTAATGTTTTACAAATCTAAATCCTTCCATTTGCTTTAGGGGTAACATAAAGATTGTTTCAATATAATATTAAGGATGTTTCTTGTTGGAGGTGTACTTGAGGATAAATAATTTTGAAGGATTTTCCATAGTAACAATATGAAACAGTGGGCGGTAGGCTTCAGTTGTTGCATTAGGTGCACCCGTTGCTCAACCAAATAATCACTGCCTTCAACAGAAATGAATTCACTCGCATGGCAGAAAATCAAATGACTAAAACTACTTGTTAGATCATATTCTATTAGAACTGCAGGTTGACTTCATAAGAAAGAAATAATATCAAAAAAGGAGTATATGTAATCCAGATGAGGTGAATTTGTTCTCCAAAAATTTAAGTACACAAGTTTGTCTTCGAAGTGATATTGTCAAGCAGAATATCACTATGAACAGTAAGCAATTAATAATAACTTCAACCACAACACATAATCATTTCACAAATTTTTATTTTTTTTAAATGAATGCATGGTGTGTAAAACAATAAATGAATAAACTATAAATTGTTAAAATATTTCCTTATTTTCTTATTTAGATTAAGATTGTGATTGATTGATTGATTGATTGATTGTGATTCATTAATCAATCAATATAAAAAGTAATTCCTTAATCAGTGCCTTAGGGCTTCCTTTTTGTAACAGTTGATTGATTAATATAAAAGATGACGATATCATAATAATCACCCTAGCTTTGTATTCTCTTAAATTACATGGTATCAAAGCCATCACCTATCACTACCCACCTTCCACCGCCGGTCCCCGAGTCTATGTCGGAACCAGCCAAGGTCCCATAGAGCTGTTTTAGCTTCAGCCAAAGGCCCCTCTGGCCTAGTAGACCCTTGTGAGGGCTGTCCTAGCCTCTCTTTGTGTATTTCGGCTCCTGTGGATGAGTGTTTGAGGGTTGCCCATCTTCTGTTGCCCCAAGTTTCTTTCCTCTGCTTTCTTAAACACAGTTCAGCACTTGTTTTGATTGGAAGTTCGTTTTTCCCGTATTTGATTTATTTTTTAGGTCCATAGATGACCCATTAATTTGATTGTTATGCTCCTATAGTGGTCTGTATGTGATTTTACCTGTTCCAGCCCATTCCATTCCTCTTTCCATTCTTGTGATTCGTGTAAGGTTTTTTGGACTGAAATTGTAGAGTTCTTATGGCTGACCTAACTAGTGAATCTACCACTACTTCCCACGCATCTAAAGGGGAGAGCTTCAGTCCAGTTATCTACATCTGAGAACCCGAACCCTAACCTCAAAATTACCACCGCTCTGTTTAATGTTCATGGTCTTAATGTCTAACACTTTTTCTAAATAGCAGGGGGAAGATCGGATATGCTAATGGGAGAGTTCAAGCACCAGGTATTACAGATCCTGGCTATGACCAACAAGAGATTACCAACTCTTTAATCATGGGGTAGCTCATTCATTTCATGGTCCTGAGATTGGTGAAAGCTACTTATCCATGGATACTGTCTACGATATTTGAAAAGCAATCACTGCTACATATTCTCAGAAAGGGAATTTTTATCTGTCTTTTAAGCTGCGCCGGTCTATTGAGTGCTCAGTACAGGGGGAGCAGACAGTTCTCCAGTATTACACCTTTCTGACTAATGGTTGGAAATGCCTAAATCATCTCTCGGATTACAAGCCTGTCTATACAGTTGACTCGGTTACCAAAAATTTCTTGCACAGAAGAGGATCTTCAAATTTCTGGAAGGCCTCAATGTGGAGTTCGATCCGGTCCAAAGTCGTGTCCTTAGCATAGATGTTCTTCCATTTCTTCAAGAGGCCTTTGCATACGTACAGAATAAGGAGAGTAGTCGTTTTGCTATGTTACAATTGGCTACTGGAGACCATTCAGCTTTTTGCTTCTTCTTGAGATGGGACTGGTTTGTCACTACCTCTTTTCCATCCTTCAAAGAAGAATACTGTGTTCTGTGATTACTGTCGCAAGCCGCAACATACTCGTGATACGTGTTAGAAGCTTCATGGGGCTCCATTAAGGAGTCGGGGTGATCAGTTTGGTACTAGAGGCGGTCAATCAAGCCAATCTAGAGGACGTGGCTCTAATCTACGGGCCCATCAGTCTAGTGCTGTTGACACCCTTAACTCTACTTCCGCTTCAGTTGGTTCGACTTTTGATAGTTTATCTAGCATGACTTCTCTTGAGCTTGCCGGTCTTCTACTGCTCCCAGTACATCTTCCTTGTAGTTTTTCCGTTCAAATAACTTAGCCTCTTCTCTTAGTTTTTTTCTTTCCCATAAGTCTTTGCCATGGATTGTTGATTTTGATACCTCAGATCACATGTCTGGGTCTTCTGACCTCTGCTCAGCATATAAGCCCTCTTCAGGTCAAGACAAAGTTAATATTGCAGATGATACTGTTTCTTCTCTAGGAAAGGTTTAATTCATGTCACCCCTACCTTACCTCTGTCTTCAGTGCTCCACGTTTCCAATTTTTTGTTAATCTTCTATCCTTGAGTCGTATTACTAAGGATTTGAACTATAGTGTGATATTTTTTCCTAATCGTTGTCTTTTTCAGGACCTTGTCACAAAGAAAACAATTGACAGTGGTAGTGCAGAAAATTGTCTCTATTTCTTGGATCGGCCAAACAACCTGCTCACCATTTCATCCACTTCCCAACCACAAAAGAGGATTTATGGTTGTGGCATTGGCGTCTTGAGCATCCTTTTTTTCATTTACTTAGGCATTTATTTCCGTCTCTTTTTACAAAGAATACTGTGTCTGAGTTTCTTTGTGAGTCTTGTCAACATGGCAAACAACACCAAACTCCTTTTGCTCCAAGTCTTAATAAAAGTTTGGCTCATTTTTCTTTAATGTGGGGTCCATCTCGTATTGTGTCATTAAAAGGCCATATAGATGGTTTGTTACCTTTATTGATGATTTTACTCATACTACTTGGATGTATCCTATGAAACAAAAAAGTGAGGTTTTCTTTATGTTTTAAAATTTTCATAAAATGATTTGTACTCAGTTTGGGGCCATTATCAAAATCTTGCATTCTAATAATGGGGGTGAATATATCGATTCGGGATTAGAGAGCTATTTTTTCACTTATGGCATTATACATCTCTTACACCAATATCCCTCAACAAAATGGGATTACAAAGCACAAGAATCGTCAGCTTCTTGATATGGCTAACTGCATGTGTTTTTCTATGAGCGTGCCTCGGTCTTTCTAGGGTGAAGCCGTTCTCACCACAGCCTATTTCATTAATCTTCTTCCTACCCAGATTTTGAAAAACAAACTCCACTTCAAGTCCTTCTCGATTTAGAGTCTTTGTTTTCCATTCTCCCTAAAATATTTGGTCGTGTCTATTTTGTCCACAATCATTCTCCTACTTGTGATAAGTTGAACCCTCGCTCTTTCAAGTGTATTCTCCTCGGATACTCGCCTACTCAAAAAGGGTATAACTGTTATCACCCTCTTCGTAAATGGTTTGTGTCCATGAATGTCACCTTCTTTGAGTCTCAATCCTACTTCTTGTCTTCTCCGGTGTCATAGTTCCTTCAGGGGGAGCCTTCGTGTGAAGAGATTCGTGTTATCCCTGTTGTTCCTATGGTGGAACCAGTTGCTCCTGCACCACCTATTATTGGGAATATAGAATCCAATACCACCATGGACAGGGAAGAGCAAGTTTTATGTCAGGGACAAAGACATACATAAAGTTACTTAAATATAAGAGACCACATTCGTTCACCCATTGCCATCTCTTGTTTCTGACAAGAGTCCAGGTAACTTTGAACCTCTTGTTTCTCTTGAGTCTACTGATATTGTTATTCCTGACATTACTGATCTTGATATTCCTATTGTCAAGAGAAAGGGTGTGAGATCTTGTACGCAACATCCTATCTCAAACTTTGTGCCCTACTCTCCTTTGTCTTCCTCGTATAGAACCTTTATGTCAAACATTTCCTCCGTTAGTATTCCTAACCATTTTCAGGATGCTCTCGCTACCTCTGAATGAAAACTTGCCATTATTGCGGAAATGAAAGCACTTTGTAAGAATGGCACTTGGAATTAATTGAGTTACCGAAGGGCAAACAACCGGTGGGATGCAAATGGATGTATATTGTGAAGCACAAAGCAAATGGTTTCATTGAGCGTTACAAGGCTCAACTTGTGGCAAAAGGCTTCACTTAGACTTATGGAGTATGTTTATCTTAAGTCTACTGATATTGCTATTCCTGACACTACTAATCTTGTTATTCCTATTGTCAAGAGAAAGGGTGTGAGATCTTGTACTCAACATCCTATCTCAAACTTTGTGTCCTACTCTCATTTGTCTTCCTCATATAGAGCATTTGTGTCAAACATTCCCTCTATTAGTATTCCTAACCATTTTCAAGATGCTCTCGCTACCTCTGAATGGAAACTTGCCATGATTGAGAAAATGAAAGCATTTCGTAAGAATGGCACTTGGATATTAGCTGAGTTACCTAAGAGCAAACAACTGGTGGGATGTAATGAGTATATACTGTGAACCACAAAGCAGATGGTTCCATTGAGCGTTACAAGGTTCGACTTGTGGCAAAAGGCTTCACTCAGATTTATAGAGTAGACTATCAGGAGACTTTTGCACCAGTGGCTAAGATGAATTCAGTTAGAATACTTCTCTCTCTAGCAACTACTTTAGATTGGCCACTTCATCAGTTTGATGTAAAGAATGCTTTCTTACATGGTGATCTAGAAGAAGAGATATATATGGACATTCCTCTTAGTTTTGAGGATCATCAGACAGAAGGTAAAGTATGCAGGCTTCGAAAGTCATTATATGATCTCAAACAATCTCTAAGAGTTTGGTTTGAGAGATTTACTCAGGCTATGCTTAAATATGGTTTCAAACATTGTCAGGCAAATCACACTTTATTTGTGAAACATTCCTCACGCGGTAAAACTACAGCTCTCATTGTTTATGTGAATGACATAGTGCTTATAGGTGATGATAGTGAGGAAATACCCCTGTTGAAGAAATATTTAGTTGATGAGTTTGAAATCAAAGACTTGGAAAACTTAAAGTATTTTCTAGGAATCAAAGTTGCTCGCTCTAAGGATAAGATTTTCATCTCACAAAGAAAATATGTTCTTGACCTTTTGAAAGAAACAGAGATGCTTGGATGTAAGGCCTCTAATACCCCACTAGAACCCTAATCAGAAACTTGGTGGTGATGAAAGAGGAGCAACTGTTGATAGGGAGAGTTATCAGCGGCTAGTGGGTAAACTCATTTACTTATCTCACTTTCGTCCTGATATTGCTACTACTATTAGTATGGTTAGCCAGTTTATGCATGCTCCTCATCAAATTAACTTAGATATTGTTATGAGAATTCTGAGGTACTTGAAATCTTCTCCTAGAAAAGGTCTTTACTTTTCTAAACATGATCACCTCCGAGTGAAACCTATATAGATGCTGATTGGGCAAGGTCAATAATTGATAAGAGATCTACATCAGCATATTATACCTTTGTGGGCGACAATCTTGTTAGTTGGAGGAGTAAGAAATAGAATATGGTAGCTAGATCAAGTGCAGAAGCTAAGTTTAGAGCTATGGCATAAGGTGTGTGTGAACTCTTGTGGATCAGACTATTGTTGAGTGATATGGGTATAGATCAAACAGTCTCTATGCGGCTATATTATGATAATAAGGCTGCCATCAACATAACTCACAATTTCATCAAGGAGAAATTCACCAGCGACATAATATGTACTCCTTTTATGAAGTCAGACGAACAATTTGCAGACATCGTCACTAAGGGAGTAAATCATTTCATGACATTCTAGGCAAGCTGGGCATGCGAGATATCTTCGCACTAGCTTAAGGAGAAGTGTTAGAATATTTACTTATTTCCTTATTTAGATTAGATTGTGATTGATTGTGATTCCTTAATCAGTCAGTCAATCAATCAATCAATATAAAAGGCGATTCCTAATCAGTGCCCCCGCAAATTTTAAAACATGAAGTGTTTCAACACATTTTAAAATTTTATGTTACAAATGTCCACTGTTTAGTTTTTTGAACTAAACAGTGTTAATTATTTGAATAGCAGGTTCTTATTTCCGATCTGTATTTCAGATCGTTAATTACACATTTTATACAAATGAAACCTCCGATTAATGAAGAACAAAATAAACAACAAAAGACAATTTAAAAAAAAAAAAAAAAAAATTATTGAGATTGTTATGGGTTTTGAACCCTCGAATACAAAATACAGTTTGGGTTTGGAACCCTTTACCTATTCATCGCCATTAGCGCAGGCTCTTGAGTTCTCTAGGCTTCTCTTCTTCTTTCTTGTAACGATTTGTTTAGCTTTCAATTTCTTTCTCTCTCTCTTCTTTTCCACTTCTGATTTTTTGATCCCCCAGTCTTGTGTGAAGGTCCTCATATTTATGGAGGGCCATCAGGTGATAGGAACGCTTCATCTTCATTTTGAATTTCAAATTGAATGATAGCGCCTATTTGAATTTTGAATAATAGCGCTATCTGATTAATCATATATATCTGATTAACCGGATTGATCTTTGGGGTTTCATCCTGTGTGGTGTCCTTGCTGTAGGCTCTACAGGTGTCATCTTTCGTAGGCTCCACGTGTCATTTGAGCATCTTGAATAACGTCGTTAAGATACGACGTTGTTTTATTTATACACTTCAACGGAGCAATGGATGTAAGGCCTCTAATACCCCACTAGAACCCTAATCAGAAACTTGGTGGTGATGAAAGAGGAGCAACTGTTGATAGGGAGAGTTATCAGCGGCTAGTGGGTAAACTCATTTACTTATCTCACTTTCGTCCTGATATTGCTACTACTATTAGTATGATTAGCCAGTTTATGCATGCTCCTCATCAAATTAACTTAGATGTTGTTATGAGAATTCTGAGGTACTTGAAATCTTCTCCTAGAAAAGGTCTTTACTTTTCCAAATATGATCACCTCAGAGTGAAACCTATATAGATGCTGATTGGGCAAGGTCAATAATTGATAAGAGGTCTATATCAGCATTTTATACCTTTGTGGGCGACAATCTTGTTAGTTGGAGGAGTAAGAAACAAAATATGGTAGCTAGATCGAGTGCAGAAGCTAAGTTTAGAGCTATGGCATAAGGTGTGTGTGAACTCTTGTGGATCAGACTGTTGTTGAGTGATATGGGGATGGATCAAACAGTCTCTATGCGGCTATATTATGATAATAAGGCTGCCATCAACATAGCTCACAATCATGATCAACATGACAGGACAAAACATATTGAGATTGATCGCCACTTCATCAAGGAGAAACTCACCAGGGACATAATATGTACTCCTTTTATGAAGTCAGACGAACAATTTGCAGACATCATCACTAAGGGAGTAAACCATTTCATGACATTCTAGGCAAGCTGGGCATACGAGATATCTTCGCACTAACTTAAGGAGAAGTGTTAGAATATTTACTTATTTCCTTATTTACATTAGATTGTGATTGATTGATTGTGATTCCTTAATCAGTCAGTCAATCAATCAATCAATCAATATAAAAGGAGATTCCTAGTCAGTGCCTTGGGACTTCCTTTTGTAACAGTTAATTGATTAATATAAAAAGTGATAATATCATAATCATCACCCAAGCTTTATATTCTCTTAAATTACATAAATCACTATCATGAACTAACAAATGCTATAAACCACTATCTTTAGAGAATTAAAGGAAAGAAACACACCTAGCTCTTTGTATCCTGTCCAATCACTTTTCTCCCACCACTGTCAAAGGAGATCAACAAATCCAATTAAATGTATCCACCTGGGATGATACTTAATGAAGTTATGAAAACAATTTCAATATATCATAATTGTGAATATCATAACTATTGATAGCAGCAACGGTTATGTCAGTTAAAAAGTAAAAGTGCATTCTCAGTTTCACAATTTATCCCAGGTTTTGGTACTGAATTTGACAATTTTCCTTTTAAGACAACAAGCATTTAATAAGATAAACATCTGCATCAGTATTGTTACAGGGGGATCCAACCCCACCAGGATCCTACAGTGCATGTCCTCATTTATTCCTGTACAGAGGAAAATAGTGTGTTTCCACCCAAAGCTGGATAAAAGAACTACCCACTGCCCACACTCGCACACATTCATTAAACAAGTATGGAAAATAAAAAAAATTTCAAATTTAGAAGGGAAAAAAAAAATGTGCAGCCTAGTCTATTCTATTTTAAGACACTAAAATTTCCGTCGTTATACAGCATAAAAGAAAACGCATACTGCCAATTCATACAAGCCATCAATATTTTTTGGTAAGCAAGCACTTTATTACCAAAAAGGGAGAGATAAACAATGATGCTCAATAAACAAGCCAAAGGGACCCTCAAAACAATTCTTCAATACTCCTATGCAAGTATGAAACCTAATGAACTAAAATACTATTGATAAGAACAACTTAGAACAGAAAACATGAAAACTCATGAAATGTTGATGATTAAGAGAGATATGTACAATATATAAGTGATTCAGAGTTTCACATTAAAACTAGTTTAGTAAATAAAATATATTTATACGTTAAATTATTGTAATTTATAAATTCAAATTTGTATTGTTAGGCTTTAACACTTTGTTTCACCCTAGATTTGCATGTTGTAAACGGTTAGGTGATAAATGAATAGGGCTTGGCTAATAGTGACCTGCAAAGATGTCACTAATTGCTATTTAAATTTGTTATATGTGCATGTGAACCCTCATTATGAAGGCTCTTTAGTAGTAGCTTTCCTTTTGCCTGGATTTTGGAATTTGATGATCGCTTCACGCTCCATTTTGCTTACTAAGCCCAAGCTATGGGTAATATCGTCATTAATCTTTCTTCCATTACAAGATTATGATGCAAGGAATCAAAACTTACGTCACATTTCCCTATTATGTATGAATTTAAGAAAAAATTACAAATATTATACAGTTGAGTGGGCTGATATAAATAATTTATGTTAAATCAATAAATTCTTTTCAAGATTAAATGTAGTGAAGTAGCTTCAAGCTTTAAGCAACAAGTGCAGCTATACAATCAAATATCTATCCAGAAGAAACAAATGAATATTGATGAATCCTTAACAATTTTGCTGGGAAGCATTTCAGACATGGTTATCTCCGTGGGTATGATTAATAATCTTCATTGTCATCAACTCTGTTATTAGAATCTTACGATTCACGATTCGTGTATAGATTAATACGAATATATAAGTGAATTTATTTTGGGATAGAATCTATAGCGAATCGCATGATTCATGATTCAATTCACCTTTTACATTCCTGCAATTATTGAAACTATTCAACCCTTTTTTTATCTTTTTTTTAGTGAAAATGACTTGATACAACTTCAAAGAGTGTTTAGTACAAAAATAACCAACACCTAGCATGATTTGTTGTTATTTTGGTGATTAGAGGTTTTCTAATAAGATCTAGATAGACCTAACACGTTTTTAACTTTTTTCCTCAAAAAATGTCATAATGCATCTTCTAATTATGTTTAAGGTTACGGTAATTTGCATCCATGAATAACCTATTACTATTTTAGTGAAATAAATATGGCTCAATATCCCATGGGTTAGGTCAGTCAGACTCGATGATTCTACAACAATTTTTTTTTTTTAATTTTGAACAATAATAATAAGCATACATATCTTCTATAAAGTGTTTTACATTTTAAAATAACAGATCCTACTTAATTCTTCTTCTTACAGTACTCTATATCGGATTTGTAAGTCCATTTTTTGAATGTTATAGAGAGATTATATTGTAGTTTTTGAATAATTTATGATTGTTGAGGTTTGCATTGACATCTCTTACTACGAAGGAAATGCCTTCCCAATTAAATAGTATAAACATGTCCTTATATGGGAACTATTTTATAACATAAGCCAAAATAAATTTATTTCATTTTTTATATGTCTGATTGTTTAATATCATTATTATAGTTTGTACTAAATCTTGATGATTTTTGTTTCTTGATTTGATTCGATTCACTATACGATTCTTGATTTGTCAATTGTGATCATCAATAATGAAATGATTGACATGAGTAGTTGAACACTTGAACTAAAAAAGTATTGTCCATTACATGGTCTAGTTTACAGAGAATTGCTTCAAATTTATATTCGCACCCACATCACAGAACTCATAGACCAAAGCACTATTTCCTAAAATAATTTTGTACCATTTCTTTCCATTCTGAGGAGCCATCATGGCTTTGACCACCCATCCTTGTCCATCTACATCTGTATCCATTTTCTCCAAGGTCCTCTCCACTTTCTCGATACCATGTGCTTCCATCTTCATTAGTGCCAGACTCGTTGCCATTTTCATTTAACAGATCAATGCCCCAATCCTTCTCATTTGCAATACCAGTGTCTACCATGAAGGAAAGCAGTGAACATAACATATATCATCCAGCACTATAAGATACCAAAAGAAATAACTACCACATCCTCATAGGAAAATTTAGATTAGCTGGACAGATCTCAGACATATTTGGAAGCCAATATAACAACATTAGACTTAGATTACCTCGTTTAGGTGGAGTATCACGGGATTGCGGACCAGAATTTCTTGGGGTGCAGCGGGGATAAAATTTTTCTTGTTTGGAAACAAACTGAGATCTGCAGCAAGTGAAATGCAAGTGAATATTTAAAACTTCAAGCAGACTAGCAGAAAACATTTTCCTTGCTATTACTATACACATGGAGGTACAAAACATCGGTATGAGCTATAAAAAATATTCTAATCCCAATAGGTGAAGGAAGTGCACCTAGGAAGCTAAACTTAATCATATTATAACTCGGGGCAAGATGATTTAGGTGCTGCTAGTTTTGTGACTGTACAGTCTTATTAATATTAAACTTCAGAGATTCATGACTACACAAATTGATTTGCTATCACAATTGTGTTCAAATATTGTTAACGTTATGCCCCCACACAATGTCAGGCGCATGTTAACTGGAAAATGAAGCAAAGGATGCTGCGGTGAACAATCTAGTGCTACATCAGAACAAGAGAATGTATGAAGCACAGATACTTCAAATAGGGTAACGTATCCGTATCGGATACCGATACTGCTTGGATAGTCACGGATACGAATCGGATACTTATTGAAAGTATCGGATACTTCTTAATTATTTTTTCATTAATTTTGGAGTATCGGGTACTTAATTTTGAAGTATCGGGTACTTAATTTTGAAGTATCGGATACTCCAAGTCATGTTTACTTGCTTTATGAAATTAGAATTTTAACATTTCTTGCATAGTAATATAATATAATATAATTACAAGTATAAATATAAGAATATTTTTCTAATACTTTGTTAAGTTCTTCGATAAGAAGAGCATAGTAAGTTAAATAATATAATTTATCAAATTGATGTATCCTAATTATTTCATGCATGTCTCCTATAACTACATAGAAAGTAAGAATTAACAACAAAATATAACAATAGTAAAATTAAATATCAATAAATAAATAAGTAAGTAAACTTGAATATAATATTTTTCACTAGTGTCAAAGGAAAAAACATAGGGACAAGTTGTGAATTGTTCTATTATTATTTGCAAGACCTATTAAAAATTTAAAAAATAAACAAACTACTAGCTTAAATTAATACAAAATTCTTAAAGGATAGTATTTTGCATTATAAAATTACATTGTAGTTTCTCAACGTTCTTTAGTTTATGTGTAACTCACTATTAATAATTTAAAAAAATATATTTTTCACAAACGTATCCTTACCGTACCGGTATCCTATTTTTTTAGGTTTTGTCGTATCGCCGTATTCGTATCGTGTCGTATCCGTATCTATGCTTTCTAGAAAAGAATTATGCATCATTTTTAGCCCCATCTTGATAAAGAATTCATTGCCCTTCTAATAAGTTAAAATAACATTTCTAGATCTTCCAGCCCTCCAGTCAAAAAACATGTCTTGCAACTGTCGCATTTCGTGGCATATAATAACTAATAAAGCAAGACAGTTGGGCCTAGGTATTAGATAGTTTTCATGCACAAGAAGAATACCACAAAGACCACCAATGAAATATACTACTACGGTTTCACATTTATTTTGAGCATTTCAAATTAGCTCGAGACACAGGATACAAAAGCCCTGGATTAATCTGTTCAGAAAAATTTCCATATACTTGCTGTAGTAGGTTAAAGTGCAAGATATCCTTAAGAAATCATTTGAATAATATATGACAATATTTCTACGTTTAATTTTCCTATAGTTCAAGATTCATAGTAGCACCAATTGAGTAAAAAAAAACATTTTTTCATATTAAAAAAAGAAGATAAACAGAGAATTTTTTATGAAAACTGAGTATATTGCGGTACCTTTTCCTTGAATTTTAATTTCTCGTACAGAACCAGCTATTTTAGCATGCTGTGGAATTGTAGGTTCAGAGTTTCTGAGGTCTGTCATCTCGTCAACTTTAGAGAAATATAAAACTAGCACAAAACTACACTTGTACTTCTTAGGTTAGCAAACGTTCCAAAACAAAGTCATTTCTTGACTGTTAAGTTGAAATTATATCCTAGGAGGTATGATTTTAATCTTGTCAGCATGTTAAATTCACAAGTAAAGCTAGGTGCACAAAATTGGAACACAGAAGCAACACAATATGTATTGTGTGGTTGAGATGAGATATGATTTCAAGTGACTGTATACAATGCATTTTATGTGTTCTAATTTTGTGCACTTAGTATTACTGTAAATTCATATCCATGCCTCATAATTCATTAATTGCCTGACCAATAAACTCCTCCCAGCCTATTTGATTAATTAAATTATTATGATTATAAATTCAAGAATTCAGACCAATCAAAATCAACTAATGGGTATGAATGGTGAATAAATATCAAAATTTTGGCATTTAAAACAATCATCAACTAGAAAACCCAATTGATCTCAAGCCTTGGACCAAAATTAAGAACATATTTACTAAAATCTGTAACTTATCATTTGGTGTACGGTCTTGCTGCATCATCCCAGTCAGTGTTGAGCAGCTGTTAAGCTGGCAGATAATTAGCAGGTAAGAAAAGGAAATTTGATCCTAAATAAATACATCCGTTGCTATAAACTACTTAAGGAAGGGCAAAAACTGTTTTCCTTCAATATCTTTTCTTTTCCTTGCAACCAAACAGAAAATACTTTTGGACACTCAAATCCTTAGGAAAGTAAAGAGCATAAACAACTATAAGTAGATACATTGAGACATGTAAGTAGAAAGATTAGAGGACGTACTGAGTGGAGCCAAAGGGCAACGCAGGCGTAGCTTGGATTCGAACTCTGTGAGGGCTCTTTTTGGGATCGAACCGCCACTCCTCAGCTTTCTTCTCCGCACTCTTTCCAAACCCAGTAGTTCTCCGAATCGGAACCACGGAGTCCGAACAACAACGGAAATCAAGAAACCTCCTTCGATTCCTGGACTTCCGAAACTCGAATCCACGGTGGTGGTGATGGAGAGGAGACGAGTCGAATCTCCTCGGTTTGAGGCAGAAAGGAGTGGAGAAGCCTCTGGAACTCGCCGCCATGATTCAGGAAAATGGCATTGGAATCGCCGGCGGGGACGGAGGAGAGACACACAGAGAGAGAGAAACCCTAGGTTGTAGAGGGTTCTGGAAGAGTATTATGCGGTGGTGGCTGGGTTTAAGGGAGAATCGAATTGAAGGAGAGATTTGGAGTGGACGAATCTCTCTCTATATGACTCGTTGGGACACTTGACGACCAGAGGCAGAGAGAAGTGAGAGAATTTATAGAGAGAGAGAGAGAGAGTATCGGTGAGGTGGTGCTGCTGCTGGAATTCACACCATATGTGCTGCCACGTGTCGAAAAGTGAGCCATCTCCTCGTGGCTTGGTTGGTGGATCTGGCCAGCTCAATTGTTAGGCCAAAAACAGAAAACTTCCAAAATATTTTTTAAAAAGAAGGGTAAATTACATTGGCATCCCCTCTTGTATGTCTTTAATACAAATTTTTCCCTAACGGTTTAAAAATTATATCACCTCCTTTAGATTTAGAGTTGTATTATAGATTGCCCCCTTCGTTAGTCAATCGTTAAACCAACTAACTGTTTTTGCTGACGTCATCAATGAAATTTTTTACATACCTATCTTATCCTTAATATGTAATTTACTAATGTTTTTTTTTCTAGTCAAAGGAATAAATATTATTAAAAAGCCAAAGCTTACAACTACCACTGAGGAAAAAGAATCATGAAGAGATTTTATACGCATTGATGCATTGTCCATATATAGGGATGTAAAAATGGCCCGATCTGATCCACCCAAACCTAGGCTCGGACCGGCCTATCGTCGGGCTTAGTGGACTTCCGTCAAAAATGGGGTTGGTCAGGTCCACTCACGCAAAATCGCGGCCCAAGCCTAAGCCTAAGGGTACTTGGGCTGGGCGGACCACCCGGCCTGGATCTGGGCTCAGCTTCGGGCGGGCCTGGGTCGGGCCTGACTATTTATTTTTTATTTTTTATTTTTTTCTATCAAAATTTATTTTTTTTCCTACCAAAATAGCTTGAAAAATGAGAATGGGCCTCAAGTGGGCCTTGAATAGACTAGTGGGTCAGGCTCGGATCGGGCTCACAGGCCAAATTGAGCCTCAAAACAGACAGCTTAAGCTCAGGTTCAGACCTAGGGTCTCGGGCTAGGTTCGAGCCTGAACGTAGCCAACATAGCCAAGTCAGGCCAAGCAGTACCGGGCTGTGAATTGATGGGCCGATCTTACACCCCTACCCATATAAAACTCTTCAAACAACAACAAAGCAGTAATGCATTGCCCATTGCAAAATCTTTGAACAACAACATAACAAAGGAATAAAAAGTTAAATTTGTTGCTAATATATCTTGCAATAATGGATTATAGCCCACAATATCCACGAAGACATTCTTCTCCCGTAAAGCCCTTTAACAATCACCTTAACATTTGACTACATAATAGTAATCCTTCACGGATGGCCAAATTTTCATCACAGACAGCTTTGTTTACAACATTTCTTATAATAATTTCATCAAGCATTTGATGAGCGCCCCCACATTCAAGAGACACAACCTCACAACACCACCGTTATCTTATCTTTATATATATAGATAGTATAGATATTTTATACTATTATATGTGAGCACATGACTTGGTATGGAATAGTGTGGTGATTTCTTGTTTTGCCACGTGACAAATTTTCGTATCTTCAAATAAAAAAATATTATTCAAAGACATAAGTAAGATTTGAACCCAAGATCTTGAGTTTTATTAAGAACACTCTTACCATTTAGACAACACGCATATTATAATATTAATTTCTTTGTTATTTATTTTTATATTTACTTATCTGAATTGCATGTGACATCCACTAGCATATATATATGCATGATTGAGCTTCATCTTTGGCATCAATTTAATTGGGATTGGAATTGTAACTATGATGCGATTTTGTGTTTACTGGTACTTTGTTAATGTTTTAATGTCAATGTTTTATATGTACATTATTTATTATTAATAAAGTTATTTTCTTTTGTAGATAAAAAAAAAATTTAAAATTGTAACATGGTTTTAATAATATATTAAAATGAAATGGACATCATTTGAAGATATTGATCCTTTTTCTTTTTTCATTCAATTTTTTTTTCCCTTTGTCAATTTTTCTCTTGATTACTCTTCTTCTTTTTCTTTTATTTCTTTTCTTTTCTTTTCAAGTCCTACAATTCACTAAACACCAAAGTTTACGCGCTCTCTCTCACTCTCTCTTCAAATCGGAGTATGTCAGAAAAATCTATTACATAAGGAAAAGGGTTAAATCTATCTATCTATCTATTTATCCATATCTATACTTCTATATTATTTATGGAAAATGTTTGGTAGCTCAAATTTTTGTGGCTCAAATGGCTCAAATCTGTCAAAACGACATCGTTTTATACTCAAAATCTGTCAAAACGACGTCGTTTTGACAGGTTTGAGCCATTTGAGCCACAAAAATTTGAGCTACCTAGCATTGTCGATTATTTATTAAGTAAAAGAAAATTTTTAATCCAAGTCTTATGAGAGTTCTAATCTCTCAATCTAAATTTTCTTATTTTTTGATAAAAAAAAATCTTAGCATTTATTAACTTTTCCCAACTCCCAAGTCTTACCCTCATAAGAACACTTCAATGCATTAAGAACAAGTATAAAAAAAAATTATTTGAAATCCAACACATATAAATTCCTTGAAAAGTCCCAACACATATGATTATTATCTCTCATAATAACACTTTAATACATTAAGAACAAGCATAAAAAAAATTTCTTGAAAAGTCTAACACATATGATTATTATCCTTCATAATAACACTTTAATACATTAAGAATAAGCATAAAAAAAATTCCTTAAAAAATCTAACACATGTGATTATTATCAACATATTAAACTTTAATATAATATAAAAGAAGAAAAAAGAAGACATTTAAAATAAAAATAAAAAAGACATTTAAAAATCACAATTTATATTTATAGATAATTGTAAACACAATTCGTGCATAGCACGGGTGATATGCTAGTATTATATAAGAAAAAGAAGATTTTTAACCCGCAAATCTTGTGGGAGCTCCGATATTCCAATCTTAATTTTCTCATTTTTTGATTTAAAAAAAAAAAATCTCAGCATTTATTAATTTCTCGCCACCCATAAGCCTTTTTAACTTCTCTCATAGTTATTGCGACACTCTTTTCAACTTCTCACATATACTATGATTAGTGATGGGATTGTTAAATTATTTTTATAAAAAAAATTAAAAAATAATTTGTATATTAAAAAATAATAATTTGTATATTAAAAAAATATCTAAAATAAATATAAATAACTATATCTATATCTATATCTATATATTATATAAGGAAAATGGAGTTTCTAATGAAAAACCTCCTAAGAGTTCCATACTCTCATTCAAAACTCGTTGATTTTTTCAATTTATAAAATAGATTAAAAAAATATATTGATTAATTTATTTTTTTAATTATTTTAGAAATAATAATTATTCATTAATTTATGGACTTCAAATGGGAAGATAACAAAAATATTTCATAATCTCGCCATCCTAATCTCTCTCACTGATTTCCAAAAAAAAAATATTAAAACTTGCCTTCCTTTTTTCTTTCCCAAAAAATCAGATAATATTTTTCATGAAAGTTGTGGATATCTATCTATATCTTATATATTATATTTCACATATAAAAAAAAAAACTAAAGATCAGATATACAGATAGATAAAATTAATAAATTTGATTTTTATTTATTCAGTTAAAATCTTTATTTTGGATCTCAATATCCAATTTTAAATTTTAAAAATCTTTAAAGCTTATCTAAACAAATTTAATTTGAAAATATCTTCCACCATCATACTTTAAATAAAAAAAACTCACATGTCTATTAAATATCTAACTCGCATCATAACTTACCTAAATAATAAGAATTAAAAACAAATAGAAACCACAGATAAATTATATGTAAAAAAATAGAAACCTACAACCCCGTCTTAAATAAATTGGAAAAAAAAATAGAAATCACACAAAAATAAAATTATCTATTTTTCTGAAGTATATCTATCAAAAATTTAAATTACTTAATGGGACAAATTAATCAATTTTCAATTCTTATTTAAAGAATAATTTGATTAGTCATCCCAACTCCTAGATTTTGCAGACATTGGCGAATGAGCTAACGAATTGGGTTATGTGAGATCTAAGTTGTTTGAGATAACATTCTCTCCTTCTATAAATTTATTTATTTTTTAATTTCTCTTTCTCTGCCGTTAATTTGGTCTTGGTTTTGATTTTAGTGAGGTTTATGTATTTGTTTATTATAGGTTTGCATAGTGGAGAAAAATTATTGGTGATTATGGATGCAATTGAAGTATCTATGTCCGTTCTGTGCCAGGATTTGGATCGGATTGAGTTTTCTTCAATGAAGACCATAAAATTGAAGTAAAAAAAGTAGGTATCAAATTTTTTATTTTTTATTGTCATTTTATTTTATAGAAAATGTGAAAATTTATTGAGAATTCAAGATTTTATTATAACATTAGATTTTTGTATATCTAGGTAAATTTAAAACTTTTACTATCACTGTGTTCTCTATTTTTATCCACTTTCAATCCCATTATACCATTATTGCTATTTGTTAGTTTGTTAATTATACTTCAATTAATTGAAAATGAAAGCTTAAAATAACTTTTCATATATATTATAATTAATTTGTTACAGGTATAGTTGTACATAATAGCATAATATATTGGAATAATCTCTAAATATAATTTCATTTTTTTATGTGATTAAATAGTCCATCTTAAATAGTATATAAAAGAGTTAGATGGCTTCTTTTATCTCTAAAAAACCCAATCTATTTTTTTTTTACTTTTTAATTTATTAAATTGAAATATCAATTGTTTATGTCCGTAAAACAAGACTAATAAACACATATCCAAAAGCTATGTATTTTTCTTTCTTTTTCTTTTTTATTTTATTTTTTTAATATGTAGGATATTTACAAATGGACCTCAAAAATTTTTTCCATAATCTGACTTAAAATGATGTAGTCATAAGTGTCAATTTTTATACAATTATGAGAAGATAATTAATTGAATTATATATTTCAACCAACCACATACTCAAACTTTGATCATTTCAAGATGTTATTTCATCATAATTCCAATTAAGAGAATCTTCAACCCTTAATATTTTTTTTATCAAATTATAATTTGATAAAAA